AAAGTTGGCTCTAAATCATGGTGTTTTATGTATAACAGAACAAAAAGTTGTCTAGTCCTATGGTCCACCTGTCAATTTGTTGTACTGTGGTGGCTTGCATGTTGCTGTGTTTCTGGAAGCTATGCCACAAGTATTTTAAATACCGGAAGGGCCTCTCATGGTAGACAGGTTTCAGCTAAGCATCCACATGAAGACAGACTAGGAAGAAGGACAGACAGACTTCTTCTGAATATTTAGTCACTGAAAATCTTATGAAAAGCAATGGTGACCCAATGGGATGCAGAAATCATCAGACAATATCATGAATATTGCATGCAAGTAAAAATTTGCTAAAGATAACACAAAAATGTCTGCAACATACATGACTGGGACCTTCCAGAGGTTCAAGCTGGATTCATGATCATTCATTATAATACTAAGATACTGTTTCCCTTTTGTTAAGATCTATACTGAAATTAAATATCAGCATAGCAACAGTGGGTAAAACTCTGCAAGTGGCTTAGTACAAAAAAAAGACAGTGACACCAATCTATACTGCAAGACATTGTATTCTTCATATTTAAGCAACTGAAATTAGAAAAACCCAGAATAAAATTGTTACATTGAAAAATGGTTTTGATAAAATAGTAAAATGTATTAATTTTATTAACTCTCAATTCTTGAGTACATGCCTTTTTAATAAAACAAGAGACAATGGGAAGTGTGCAGAAAGCATGTTTGCAGAAGAAAGTAAGATGGCAGATTCTGAGTCAAGTAACTGTGTGACCTCATGACAAGCTGTAGTGGCATCCTGTTTCACATCCCACCAATTTTGCTGGAAAAAAATGATCATATAGAATCAGCTTTTTTGTCAGGCATGCTCTTCAAAGTGAATACACCAAAGTTACCAGTGCCAGGAAAATAATTGATTGGATTTGTTGACAATGATAAAATTCAAACAAAATTTCCATTTTGAAAAACTTTTGTATACTACCATGAGCTTGACAACTTCCAAATACATAAAATAATAATAATAATTGGATCAATAGTTATGTGAAAATATGATTCATTAGTTTTATATTGAAATGTATCAATAGCAGCAAAACCTGCATAAATCTGCAATGATCTGATATTTTCTAAACTATCAGTGTGAAAGCGTGTATAGACATAATATATATTCAAAGTGTGAATAGATAAATAGGTTTAATGTAATAACAGGCAAAGTTCTTTGTTAAGGATTTAAGTTCTTCATTGAAGCTAACCTCTGAGAAATTACCTTATATCAAGTTTGGCTTAAGAAGAAAGGAACTATTCACACTTATCTAAAAGGGCTATTAAAATTTCATCCTTTTCAAACTACTTATCAGTGTGAGACTACATTTTCTTCTACAAAAATCACGTTAAAACAGATTGAATGCAGACACATCTATGAGAATAAAGTTGGCTGTTCTCTATTAAACCAGACATAAAAGAGGTTTATAAAAATGTAACATGATTCTATTCTTCTCACTAATTTTCAAATGTAGTAATTTTTCATAGAATTGATGTTCATATTTTATGGCATACTGACATGTTAAAAATATATTCATGTCTGTATGTTTTAAAATTTCTACGATGGTAAATAACAAGAAAACCAAATTCAATTACAACTTCAATCTTTTCTCCATTTCAATATTTTCCACACAGAATCCTTAAATATTGCTAGTTGGGGATTGATTTTTTTCTTCAGTTCCTTCATCTTGAGAAATGCTGAGCATGTTCTTCCCTTTCAGTTTTCTAACTCCAAATCTTTGCACATTTTTTTGTAATATTTAACTGTGTGTACTCAAGCTGCTCTTTGAAATTTTGTATTCAGCTCTTTTACCTCCTCATTTCTTCCATTTGCTATAGCAAATTAGAGAACAAATTTCAGACTCTCTTCTGACATCCATTTTGGTATTTTCTTCTTTCTTGTTTTCTTAATGAACTTTTGCTTCCCCCCTGTATGATGTTCTTGATGTCATCCCACAACTCTTCTGGTCTTTTGTCGTTAGTATCTGCTATATCAAATCTGTTCTTGAGATGATCTCTAAATTCAGGTAGGATATATTCAAAGTCATATTTTGGCTCTTGTGGTCTTGTTTTAATTTTCTTCAGCTTCAGCCTGAACTTGCAATAGATGGTCTGTTACACAGTCTGCCACTGGCTTTGTTTTGGCTGATGATATGAAGCTCTTTCACCATTTCTTTCCACAAATGTAAAGAATGTGATTTCTGTGTATTTCATCTGCTGAGGTCTAACTATATAGTCATCTTTTATATTGCTTATAACAGGTATTTGCAATGAAGAAGTCATTGTTCTTGCAAAATTCCATCATGTGATCTCCAGCAGCATTTCTATCACCAAGGTCATATTTTCCAACTACTGATCCTTGCTATATGTCTCCAATCTTTGTATTCCAATTGCTAATAATTATGAATACATCTTGATTGCATGTGTGATTAGTTTCAGACTGAAGAAGTTGGTAGAATTATTCAATTTCAGCATCACTGGCTTTAGTGGTTGCTGTGTAAATTTGAATACTAGTGGTATTTTAAGGTCTTTCTTGCAGGCATATGGATATTACCCTATCACAAACAGTGTTTTACTCCAAGGAAGATCTTGAAATGTTCTTTTTTATGATAAATGTGATGCCATTCCTCTTCAATTTGTCATTCATGGCATAGTAAACCATGTGAATGTCAGCATCAAAATGGCCAATACCAATCCATTTTGGCTCACTAATGCCTAGGAGCTCTGGTAGCGTAGTGGTTACGAATCAGGCTGCGAACCACAAGATCAGCAGTTCGAAACTAAGGCTGTTCCGTGGGAGAAAGATGAGGCGTTCTGCCGTTCTGCTCCCATAAAGATTTACAGCCTCGGAAACACTGTACAGGGTCGCTATGAGTCGGAACTGACTCCACGGCACAAAACAACAACAACAATGCCTAGGATAACAATGCTTATGTGCTACATTTAATTTTTGACAGTTTCCAAATTTCCTAGATTCATACTTCATGCATTCTATGTTCTGATTATTACTAGATGTTTTCAGTTGTTTATCTTCATTTTGAGTTATGCCCAATAGAAAATGAAAGTCCCAAAGGCTTTACTCCATTCGCATCATCATGGTCAACTCTACTTTGAGAAGGCAGCTCTTCCCCAGTCACATTTCAAGTGCCTTCCAAGCTGAGGGGCTCATGTTTTGGCAGTATATCTGGAGAACATTCTAGTGCTTTTCATCATATTTCAGTATTCAATATTCTAGTGCTGAGAGTGCGCCTCTGCTAATCATAAGGTTTTCAGTGACTAAAGAGTCCTAAGTAGTCTGGTTCTTCTTTTACTTAGGCAGTCTTTGTCTGGAAGTTCAACTGATACCTGTCCAATGGGAGACTCTTCTGATATTTAAAATACTGGTGCCACAGTTTCCAGAATTACAACACCATGCAAACCGCCACAGTACGACAAACTGACAGAAGAGTGGTGGTTCTTTATACTAAAACTTGAACAAATGTGAGTTTCCAGGGATGTTGTTGTTATTGTTAAGTGTAGTCAAGTCAGTTCTGACTCATAGCCATCATATAAAGGGTTTCTGAGAAGAAGTTGATGAGTTTGAACCATTACCCTTACAGTTAGCACTCCTGTACTTATCCTACAGTGCCACACCAAGACTTCACTTCCAGGCACTAGAACATTATATAGGACATAGAATTGAGTTCTGAGAAAACAAATTTAAACAGAAAATATCTGTTGTTCTATTTTCCTCACCATAGCTCCTTCCAATATTATTCTTTTGCAATTAGCTTGTTAAAATAAAACGGTCCCTATTTTGTGATCAGAAATAACTGGAGATGAATGAAAATTAAGTTTAAACATAGATATTCATGCTTAGAATAATAAAAAAGGTATTTGAAATGGAAATGAAAAGATTTAATGAACAACAAAAACATACATGTCAAAAAATAATCTTAGGAAACTGGACTTTGGGGACAAATATGAGGGAAATTAAAACAATTCACAGAACAATTCCATGATATTTTATTTCCATTTTCCCACAAATTTTGAAGCCCATGTGTGTATCTTCCAATTATTACAAAAAATTAAAGAGAAACTGTGATAAGAAGAATTCAAAAAAATTTCAATAAATATTTGGCTAGAACATAAAAGCTCTGTTCTAAATCTTTACATACATTAATTAATTTAATCATTTTATAAATAAGTGGACAAAGAATCAAATATGATATGGGAATATAATGAGGTAGCATACTGGTGGTGCTTTGGGTTAGCCATTGGGCTGCTAACCACAAGGTCAGTGGTTCAAACCCCCATCAGCACTCCATGAGAGGAAGCTGTTAGCTCCTGTAAAGATTTACAGTCTTGGAAACTCTATAGTGGGTTGCTATGAGTTATAATTGACTTGATGCGATTGGATGTGTTTTTCTGTATTTTGAAAAATAAATCTGAATCCTCTTTGACTAGGATATTAAGTATCTGTTGTTAAATATTTTAAGAAATTATTCAATAATATCATATTAATTTAGGAGTCCTGGAGTGGCACTGTGAGTTAATGCGTGAGACTGCAAAGCCATTTGAACTGCAAGGTTGGTGGTTCAAGCTCACCAGCTGCTCCTTGGAGACTCTATACAGGGTCACTATGGGTCGGAATTGACTCAACGGCACTTAACAACAACAACAACAACAACATCATTTTAATTTAATAAGTTTGCTCAAATATAAACATAAATAGAAATGTCTCCTGCACCTTTCCTGATCAATCCATTTTTACAAACTAGAAAAAACTGTGTGTAAAATAAGTCTAAACAATTATATATTTTTGGTACTTATAAACCAAATATTAGAATGTAATCAATTTTTTTAAATGGGACATGACAGAGAATATAAAACACAAAATGTAAGCGATGGTATTTAATAATTACATGATCAAATATGCATATGTTCATATAAAATATCGAATGCAAATATAAACATTTAGGGTGACTTACCTTTGATATCACTTTTCTCTAAATCCTTTAGTGCTTGAACAAACGACAGCTGATTTTCTGTGAGCGGCCAGCTATTATACAACACCAAACACTGAATAATATATTTGTAAGCCTATGAAATAAAATTCAAGATTAAGAATAATCAAAAACAGAGACAGTACCCATATTTGTTGTTGTTGTTCATCATGGACTTCATTTAGATTTCCAGTGACCCTGTATAGGGTTTCCAAGAGCAGCTGGTGGGTTCTGAACTGCTGACCTTGCAGTTAGCAATGTAGTTCTTATCCTACAGTGCCTTTAGGTACATATGAATGAATTTTTTTTCTGGGTTACAGATAATAATTTATAAGGTTACTATGGATCAAAGAGACTCAGTAGCAGTAGGTTTGGATTTTTGGTTTATAAAATATTAAGTGTCGTCCAGTCAGTTGTGACTCAGAGTGATCCCATATAGGGTTTCCAAGGAATGGCTGGCTGGTGGGTATGAACCACCAGCCTTGTGGCTCAGTACTTATTCTACAGTGCCACACCAGGA